CATACTGTTAACGGTGTTAGTCGTCGAGCGCGGTTTCGTCTCTGCCATCGAGCCAGTTAGTTCGGTTCACAAGAAAGACACATCTTCGCCAATTCACTTTTCTTCACAGGATGTCAATGTGTGTTAAACACCTGCCCGGGATCTCCACTCACGTATCAGGGGGAAAACTTTCCTTCTCTCGGGTTCTCCACACTTGTCAGGGGGGAACTCGTCTCGTCTCTATATCTCGTCCCCTTGAGGTACGGGATCGGGAAAGTCACTTTAACTTTACAGTCAAATAAGACACACACAACGAAATACGTTTCAGCTCTCGTCTTAGTCGGTCAATCGAGCACTCTATAAGACACAGCGCCCTGGGGAAAAAATCCCCAAGACCAAGACTGGACTGCCTCAAGGCTCGCCCCTGGACTCTCTCGGACTCTCTCGACTCTCTCTATTCATTTTCAAAACTCTAACCAATTACAAAGCAGTAAAAAGACTCTAGGGCGTAAACTTCAATCATAAAGCCAATCACACTAAGTACTGAATACGTCATATCTTTTGATTAATCGTTCACTACATTAATAACTACGGATGTCAGAATAGCGACGGTATCTTGTAATTAGTTCCAAACCACTGAGCCAAGTTCCGTCCAAAACTTCAAATAGACCTAAACGATGACAGACATAACACAGCAATTCAGCTAATAATCAGCTAATTAAGTCGGTCAACAGATACGCAAAAACAAATTCATGACACTATTATCAACTGAATCACTAAGGAATTTCCTAGAAGACTCCTTCAACTCGAAACGAATTATTGAACACGCAATTGAATTTTGCCCTGACTTGAAACTTCTAATTAGATCGCTAACATGTCTACGCAAAAGTACGGAAACTAACAGTAAGAATAAATTACGTATTCAACGAATTACATCGAAGCTTAACAAACATTATATCGAGGCATGTAAAAGTCGGGGAAAACAGAGAGCAGAAAGCACCAATGAAGAAATCCAAAAAACATTACACTAAGACGTGGTCAAAATTTTAAATAAAAATGAATAGTAATGAACTGAAAACGAAATTAAATAACTGATTGATTACTACTCTGTTATTATATACGTTATGTATTATAAGTTATATATATTTGAAATCATTTATATATCATTTACATATCCCGCTCGAGACATTGTACATATGGTATATTATTTGTATTTTTCATTTTAATTGCATTGTACATTATCAATTATAGTTTGTCCTTACCTGTACTGGTTGTAAACCACTTATTCGTTAACAATTAATTATTTGTTTACTTATGTATTACCATTACTATGCAATAGTTATGTAAATATTTCATAGTACTAGATTTTATAACTCGAGAATAAATACAATATCATGTATGTATGTATGTATGTATGTATGTATGTATGTATGTATGTATGTATGTATGTATGTATAGATAGATAGATAGATAGATAGATAGATAGATAGATAGATAGATAGATAGATAGATAGATAGATAGATAGATAGATAGATAGATAGATAGATAGATAGATAGATAGATAGATAGATAGATAGATAGATAGATAGATAGATAGATAGATAGATAGATAGATAGAACAAAGATTACCAACTCTCATTTATACATTAAAATGATCTGAGAGCTGACTCATAAGGAACATTAAGAGGAATGTCTTGAGTACTACCAATCGGCCGTTTATTGGCGATGATATTTCAATGGCTTGAGAAAGTTAGTGTCACTTGGTGTTTGTAGAAGTTATATTTCACATGTGATAAAGCAAGGACTGGGACAGTATTTTTTGTGGTGTATATGCGTAAATTGTATTATCTCTTCCCATACATATAGTGAAAAGCTAATAAATAATGTTCAAACAAAGATTTTCTCATATTTATAGAGCGACGCATTCCATGCCCATACAAACATACAATCAAATGTGTGGCTCATATTCTAATGTGATCGGTAGATAACATATTGTTAGCCTTATTTATATCAGTCGGTTTATAAATAATATATCTAAATAACACCTCGTTTATAGGCCAGAAATTCATAACTTCATAACTGTGCCCACTCACATATGGATCAAGATTTGAGAGCATTTGTTAATTATTTAATATTTTGTTATTGTGGTGTTATGGGCGCTTGCTGATCCTGTCTGGTTCCGGTTAAAAAGCGACGTTTTAGTTATTAAAATCGTCTTGTTCGCAACTTTACACCACCTAATCGAAGGCTGTATTAAGTTGCGTTCGTGTAATAAACTACTCACTTATCAAATAGACTGAAATCAAACTTGAATCCGAGGCATCGAATGACGACATCATATGGTTCTCGAAGGTCATTATTATCGACAGGTCGTCTTGATTGTCGATGTGTAGAGTTCGACTTTCCAGGTTGAGTGATATGAATCTTGTCTCCTATTTTAACGAACTTCATTTTTTCTACTTCTGAATAAAGTACTCCATCGAGTGATTTTAATAGATATGTATCTAATAAACCATTATTCACAGCTCTGAAATTAAAGTACTAAGTAATGTAGTTTATCATTGATTAGTTCCAATCCAATTAAGACGGTTAGTTCAATTTATGTAAAAAAGACATACCACTTTACATGATTGTAAAAGCCTTAACTGAAATACTTAGTAGACGCTACTGTATTATCTCATATCCACAGAAAACATCATTTTCATGAAAATCCAGTTTATTAACAATGACAATTATGTTGTGATATAAGATAACATTTACATGGGCGACGGATGCCTATTCTGGCAATAATTTTCGCATCATCTTATGTAGTATCACTACTTGCAAGGAACTAACCTTAAATCTCCTACATAATGCGTATTCCATGCTAATTTGTATTGTGTTCTTGACAATATGTGGATGAAATTTGTTGCACCCATTATATAATCAGCAGTCTCAAATCCTGAATTCCCCTTCCCCATTATCAATACCGTCTTCCCTTCATAGTCTGCTTTATCCATCGACATGTCTTCATAACCCACCGTATGTTCAACCCCTTTAAAGGAAGGAATATTTGGCAGAGATAAGCCGGTTCCAACAATCACAGTTCTGAGTAAAAATACAAAAAAACAACAACGTCAAAACAGACATATAAAAACAATGATTCAGCACATTTGTTGCTTAATCATTGAATTCCATGGATATGGTTACTCTTATCACTGATGTTAATGAATTATATTGATTGTCTTGTAATTAAATTATGAACTTATCACAGTACTATATATTAGTAGCTGATGTCTTCGAGGCAGCGTGGTTAGAACAGTTCAGTTCAAAGTAAATGTAATCGTGCCATATTTATTCCATGCGATCGAGCCATATGTACTCGCATAGAAAGCCTATTTAAATTTAAGGCCACATGTTTTGTACACATAAGAAAGTGTGTTGCTCTTAATAAATATTGGTTCAATTGGGGTATGATTTTAGTCATAGAGTACTGAATAGAAATTAGACAGTAATGTGTGGCACGTGCTTCTACATTTGAAAAGTGGCTTGACACATCCTGCAACAATGTATGATATAGTGGTCAAGCATGTAGAATATGCAGCAATCCCTGCCATTTATTGCGCTCACAGAGTCCATGCAACTCACCTAAGTGAAATTACAAAGCATGACTCCCTCACTTCATCCTGACTCGCAAGTGATCTCACCAAAATGAGAACTGGCATGCAAACAGTTGCACAAATACAACATAAATAATACCATCAACTCTAAAGCTATCTGTTCATCCACATTTTTTTTCACAAATCTAATAATAACTTACCCACAGTCATATGTATTGTTACTTTGATCTTGCATTTGAAATTCAAATTTGTCTCGACGTTTGACGTTCACAATGTTGGTATTGTACTTGACATTGATACCATGCTTCTCTGTGTAATCTTGAAGATATTTCACAAAAACATCAGCATGTGGAAAGAAATCGTGCGAATAATGTCTGTAAAATGATAAAAATAATACCATGGTAAAATATGTGAACAAATGTAAATTATTGTGGTCCTGATTGTCTTCAACTTTACACGTTGAACACTTTTGTCCATGTTTATATTATCGTGGGATATGCATACGTTTTCCTGTTATATTATCATCACAATACTACATTATCACACATTTCGTGCATAAATGAAATAAACATGGATAAAATAATTCCATTTTGAAAAAAAATTAA